CTGTAGGCGTTGCCACCACACGCCGAAAGCCGTCACGGGCACTTTCACTTAAAACTCGTTCGCACGGCCCATGAGCGTCCGTCCGGTGCACAAGCGGCGCAAGATGTGAGCGAAATCTTCGAGGAAACCAGTCTCGTTTCCATGGCAACCGCCGGGAGTCCAGCTCGCTTATCGCGCGTAGGACCGGTACGGAATCTTTTGCGTCGTCATCATCGGGAGCGCCATCGTTCCCGTTTTAAAGCCTTTGAGTAATAGAAACGTTCCGACGGAAGGCCGGGCGCGCAAACACAGGCACAAGGGGATATTAGCTGTAACTGTAACCCAATTTAACTGTCCGGAGGAAACTGGCGCGACTGCATTTTTTTCATAAGATATTTTTTCACAATCCATCAATGAAGCGAGACCTCATTTCACAACCGTCATACCACTCATCGCGCATTGATCACCAGCATAAGGTTGCTATTCCGTTTTGCCGCACCAAATTCTTTTCAGCAGCCTTCTTACCGAAAGCAGCCGCCGATTGGAACCATTTTCCCTCTTCCGTTGTAACAATAACAGACCCTTTGTTATTCAAGACTGCAATTTCTCAGCAATGCTTGATACTATACGCAGTTTCCATTATCTATCTTTGTCTTGTATGTGCTTGAATTCTTACTTATACATTTTTAGTTGACTTATGTTGCCTTCCTGATTTGCGCATCTGACACTTGTTTCTTTATTTTGTCTTTTTTTCTTGTGTGTTATAAATGTTGTACCCACCCCCTCTGTAATGCCCTACGGGCCCTGAGGGTATTCCAGTAAATAAATAAATAAATAAACTGGGGTTGCACGTCCCAAAACACGATATGATTGTGAGAGACGCAGAATGAAGGGCTCCGAAAATTTGGACCACCTGGTGCTTGCTCTTTAACGTGCACTAGCATCGTTCAGTATGTGGGCTTCGACCATTTCGTCTCCATCGAAATACGACCGCCGCAATCGGGAACGAACCCGCGACCTTGAGGTCAGCAGCCGAGAGCCCTAGCCTCTACGCCACCGCGACGGACTTGTTCAAATGTGTTAATGACTGTGTTAATGAACAAGGGCGCAAGAAATGTTTTTCACCGAGAGATGTGATGTCGCGGCCGAAATTTGCGGAGCCCTGAACGACGGTGTCTGGCATAATGATATCGCGGTTTTAGGAAGTAAAACCCACAACATTGTTATTTAACCGTCTGAAATCAACAAACGTCAGCGTCCAATTCCGATAGGTATGAAACCAATGGTTACACTATAGCCTTTCAGATATGTTTGAACATATTGATTATGAACCCGGTAAGGACCCTTTAACAAATCTTCTGGATCCCGAAAGTGTATTCTTTGTAATGATTACGCGTCTTATGTCAAATAAACTTTCAAAGATTGCGACCTTCTCTTTGTTATAACGGAGCATGAATTTTTGGTGAGCGCATATGTCATTGAAAATTTTGCGCTTTTTTTCAGCAACGTCTTGTGGTGACATTGAACCTCACAGGCCTCAAGTTTCTTCGACTTATGAACGAATTCCGAGTCGAAATGATGCTTCCGTGCGATCTGTTCCGCTTCCCAATTTTCGCAGTGTCAATTCATTGACACTGAGTATTATGCATTAAGGCCGAGTTTACGTCCCCCCCCCCCAAAAAAAAAGAACATCTAACATAAAACCTTGTGTCCGAGCATCATCAAAAAAACATGTGGCTTCATACTTGTAACTGGTTTATGAAAACGAATATTCTTAAGATTCCTGCTCTCAGGAGTGGCACATACAATAAAAAAATAACAGCACAAAAAAAAAGAACGCCGGAACCAACACACAGAGACAACAGAGCGCTTACTTCCGGCTGGTTTATTTCCGACGAGACACAGAATTTGTAGCTCTGACCAACGCCTCCTTCATTTTTTTTTCAATGCCAGTGCTCATGCGCACTTGTCAACGGGAGCCGTCCGTCTGCCTTATTTCAGGTAATGGTCGTGATGCGGCGCGACATGAAGGGTAGCGCAGAGGTTCCACCTACCACTGCGAGGGGAGGCCAAGAGGGCCCCAACCCAATCACCTCTCTCTAACCATTTAATGGTTATTAAACGTTTTGACCACCACCTCGCGTCACACGTTCTTCCGAGTGCTTTACCCCGGAGATGTGAGATACTCGTTTCACACTCCAATATCATACGACTGTCAGATTTGTTTCTTCGCGCATGCAGTAGCACATACAGTAGTGCTGCAGTGATGTTTCCCCGTTGGTTGCAGACATAGCCCAATGAACGGCGACACGCTATCTCAAAACACCGTATCTTTTATAGAGCCAGCGTGACAGCCAACATTATGAACATGAGGAGTGCAAGACCCCCTCCTCCACGCGGATCTGTCCATAGTCGAACAAAAAAATTGCTTCACATAATTTCCGTCGTCAGGCACTACATGATGGGCTCTCTTCCTCCCGACTGCAAAGCACTCGCAAACGCGTTAGGCGAGAGCAGGAAAAGGTTAGAGGAGAGGAGCGGATCTGGCTGACATTGATAAAACAGAGGACATGCTGCTTTGACACACCCCAAATGAACAGAAAATACCTACGTACGCAGACAGTTCTTTTATTTATAAAACGGAGCTATCCAAGGATTGCTTACGCGCCCATGCCCAAGATTCGCTTCTGTATTTTACGCTTCTGTATTTTACGCGTGATCTGTGAGTGAGTTTTACAGACGACACTCGACTCGATAGGCAACGGAACGCAGCATTGTTCTTGCGCCCGTTGTGAGAACAATGATGTGCCAGGTGACCTTACTTATACTTTTATACACTGCTACTTGAGCTCTGACACTCTAGAATCGAGACAACTGCATATCTGGCTTACTTACAATTTTTCGAATGGTACACGATAAGCAACGTTGATTGATTAATTTGTGGGGTTTTACGTCCCAAAACCACCATTTGATTATGAGAGACACCGTAGTGGAGGGCTCCGGAAATTTTGACCGCCTGGGGTTCTTTAACGTGCACCCAAATCTGAGTACACGGGCCTACAACATTTCCGCCTCCATCGGAAATGCAGCCGCCGCAGCCGGGAATCGAACCCGCGACCTGCGGGTCAGCAGCCGAGTACCTTAGCCACTAGACCACCGCGGCGGGGCAGATAAGCAACGTTTACTACGCACTCGACAAACTTTATATTGTGGTTAACAGTACGTGCTGCCACTTTTTTTTTGCGATTAGAATCAGTGATTCTGCATATCTCAGATAACTTGTGAGGGGCCGAAAACTCGCCGAGCTAGCTTCTTCAGATTATGGAAAATAGTACGTGAATGTAAAATAACAGCGGTTTTCAGCATCTGTGCAGACACCCTACAAGTTTTTACCTATAGACCTGTGCTCATTTTTCTGTGTCTTAGGCTGTCAGTTATCGCGCTGTAATATCTTTGGAATCATGAATAACTAACTAGCACGATTTAACGCAATCGTGACACATATGCGTGGTCGGCGTTTCCACGCTGTGTCTTGTTATACGGTGCGCATACGCTGACCCCGATGTCGACGGTTCGAATCCCGGCCGCCACATTTCGACGGAGGCAACATGCTTGAGGTCCGTGTTAGTATCTCTCAGTGGACGCAAGGGCGCGCCTTAGAAAATTACATAGTGGGGCTCGAGCCAGGGTCCGCTGGGTGCCAGCCCAGTATTCTACCACTGAGCTACGCCGTTGCTTGGGCCTTATTGGCAAACTTGCCCGAAGCAGGCTTGATGTCGGGAAAGCAATCGCGTTAATGCGACTTATAAATTGTTTTAAAACGGCGAAAGAACTTGCAGTCATCGCACGAATAGTGTAACAAGTGGGTCATCCAATGCTCGAACCCATTACAAGAGCTTGTTCTTGTTCCCCTATTGACTGTGGCGCATACCCATTTCAGGCATAATTCCTCATCGTCGTCAGCCACTGCACGGCACGAAATTTCTCGCGCAAGTTAAGCGCATACCACGCTTCTCAGAAGAAAGACGAAAAATAGCATAAGGTATGCCGGACTACTACCCTAAAAAAAGTTTATTGTTAATGCCGTAGTGGGCATCAAGCAAGTGCGCTTGCAGCAGTTACCCGATGAGTGTTTAGAAAATGCTCTGAAAGGCCGCTCTTCTAGCTTTCGCTGTGACTGTGCTGCGCCGTTGGCGCAGGTCTGCCGTTTTTGGATTAGCGTCTGACCCCAATGACACTCGATGTTGACTACAATGGTGGCCGCCCAACACTAGCTGTGGTAGCGATAGAAAAATCAAGACCAGAGAAAATTCACTTTCGCGTTTCATGCAGCGGCTTTTTTTTTTCTCCAATTTTCTACCTTATCAGAGGCAAATGCAAAACTGTCCCACGTGGAGGTGACGTAGGTTAGATAGGGCTTCCGAGATGACAAAAGCTCTGACAAGTACTGCTGCGTAACTTGGTGCAATAAGAAGTCTTACCGCGCGATTCACTCCGCTGCGGGATAATGCTCGTGATAGCGTTATCAAACCACTTCATGAGTTGGAGATATACGCCTCATGATATCGCAACTGATTCGTCTTCTCAATGAAGCCAAGCATGAGCGTCTTCCAGAAACCCAATGCTCCGAGGTATTGGGCAATGCCTAGTACACATGGAGAACTCATCCATATCTCAATCATTTCTACCACGAACGCTTTACAGCTATCGTCACAATAGCGCGAATAATCAAACAAGCAATAGATAAGAAATCACAAGGGGCGTCTTCTCCGGATAAAGGTCGTGCGTTTGTAGCTCTACGAGTTATAGGTTCGTAATGTCGATTTGAAAGCACAGATGGCAAAAGACAGTGTGCCTCTTCTACCTGCCTTCAGTCAAATATGAAAAGAAAAAGATTGTTTCTTCTCATGGGTTTCCAAGAAGAGCTCCGAATAAAGCAGACAGATATCCCATGAAAGGCTTGAATGTGCACATACGCAACGTTGACGTTTGCGTTCTATCTCGCCACTTCTGGCGTCACACGGCCACATTCACACGATAAGCTTTCGCGACACGTCAGTAGCGAGAACCGAGACCACCACGCAGGACCATTCAAGTGAATTCCACGACATCAGCGTGAATCGTAGGCTGCTTAAGGAGCACCTGGACGCCAGCAGATCTTGGACGCTTCTATGGCAAAAAAGTATCATTGCGGTGAATTCCAAGAACGCAAGGAATAGATATTGCATAGTTACACTCCAAGACCTCGAAAGACGCCGCTACGCCAACTGCGTACGAGAATCGACAGCGGGTGTCCATCATTCGGGACAATACAAGTCAGCTGTTCTGGCGTGTTAATTTCTTGGTGCCCGCAGACATCCCTTGAACGTTCGGTGAAACAACCAAAAGCCACAGACAACGACGAAGAAAGCCTTCGAAGCCATTACATCCTGCGTCTCCTAGAAGAAAGTGTCTCCATACTCCAGTGTTCCCTGGTCACAAAGAGATCTTGATAGACATATTCCGATGATGGCATCATCAGCGACACTGGCAGTTCTTCTCTTGGCTGTGTTCTTTAGTCAGCGATTCACCTCCGGAACCGGAAATACAAACCAAGGGGTGAGAATCTGCAAGCCTCAACCGAACGGTGACACCCTGGGCCAGAGGTCCACCTGTCCGTACGTGGTAACCGAAGACAATGACTTCAGGAGAGTTCCGGCGATCATATACCACTTCAGCTGCAACTGTCCCGGAAAGTCGGTGCAGCTGATCAAGGTGACTACCGATGCGTACAGGTCAGAAAGATGCTGCCAGTGGCGTTTCAGAGATTTAACGCGGGGAAGACAACTTTTCAGAAGAAGGTCGTGAACGTGAATGCATCCTGCGTCTGCGCTACCCCCAAGGCACAGGCGCTTGTGACGAAGGACAGAATACTCGACGAGACAGGCAAACACAAGGAATCGGACGGTGTCGAAGGCGTCATCCGTATACACGACATTGACCCAGTAGACGAACACGATTAGCTCTATTTGTAAGTACTTTCGGTACGTTATAACCATATTCTGGGTGTGACCTGTGTGTTTAGCTAAATTAATTTAACCTGTATACACTGGAACATCGATGCAACAGAGCTCCACGTAAATCAACCTTTTAGCTGATGAAGCTGCATGTTTCATTCTAGGGTCGACATTTTGATCAGCAGATGGGCAAAAGGAAGTTGAGAAGTGATGCTCAAAGTTTATATTTCTTAAAAGTGATATTGTGGTGGTACCGTTGTGGAATCACCTTTTTCTTTGTACGGGTGCTGTTTTGTCTAAATGCAAGTGAAAATTGCGAGATCAATTGTTTGTATCTCCAGAAACTATCTGTACAGGTATGAAACGAAGTCCGGATTTTGCAGCGAAAGCTGTTATGAGATCACAACTCGGGTCACGCGCAGTGGTCCGCCGCTGCCACCGCCGCCAGTGTCCGTAACCACATCACGCGAAATATGAAAAAAAAAACCTAGCACCAAAGACACAGTGGGGCTTGAAACCCGGGTCCTCTGTGTGCCAGTCCAGTATTCTACCACTGAGCTACACTGGTGCTTTTTTTCTTTAATGCATGAAATCATCACCAGTGAACCAGTGAAGTACGCACAACATGCTTCATCGGAAGTCGAGCAAGCACACACAAGTGTCAAGAAAAGGAAGCCACTCCGGAACAAAGTCAAAAGTCTCAACAATGCTGTGCACTTGAGCAGCTGCTTTTCGGAAGACGGATCTCGTCGACCGTGGTGGCTCGGCGTGTCTATCAATCATGCGACTTTTCCGTAGTGAATAAAGTTCCAACATAAACATGTCATAAAGGGTATTATCAGTGAGACTCTTTTTGAATGGGAGGGACCTAATACCATGAGCTGTGATTGGAAGTTCTTTTCTTATAGTTCTTTTTAGAATGTCCCAAAAATAAAAAGCGCCACGACAATGAATAAAGCAATGCTCTATATTCTCAAGTTGGTTGCAGAGTCTACAATTCCCTGTCCAGGGTGCGTATATTTATTTTTCATTCTGCCACATTTTCTCATTCGCAGCGTGGAAGTGTGCAGTTTAAAGAAAAATGTTTTCGCTGAAGGAGATATCCACATTCTACGTACACAAATTAATACATCGTGACCAGACAAAAGCGAATATGGCTTTCGATAAACGGGTTCCAGGAAAAGGTTATTCACAAGTGCAGCGGTTAAATTTGTTCTGTCAATAGTATACAAATACTTTAAGCTAAAACTGGCTTAAAAAATGGCAGCATGAACAATTTCTTTTATGACACCCCGCAACTGCAATTCCTTAGCAACGCTTGTTGTGACATGAATAAAAGGAAGGTGGTAGCATAGATGGTTACGAAGAACCGCTAAAAGAAAGGGGTGGCACACATCCTTGAGGTGAAAAAATCGTAACACCAACTGTCGCACGAACAAATTCACAAGGCCGAGGCCACCCTTTTCAAGCGGAAGAAAAAGATCGTCTCTTCCAAGAAGAGCTCAAAACAAAGCAGGCAGATTTCCTATGAAAGGCTTGAATGTGCACACGAGAGCAGTGCAACACTCGCAGAACATAAGTAAGCTTTGATGCAAGGGATATATTGCACGCTTTCACTCTGGCAAAAATGGAAAGTTCCCGTCCGTGTCATGTTGCCACATTTCGGCGGATCATAGTTATCGCAGTGTTCCAGTGTGGGCCGCAGTTACGATAGTTATCGAGAGGCACACCAAGGTACTTCATAGGAGTCGCATTCCAATTATTGTTTGCGAAGACCGAAGGAGTTTGGGCTCACATGCCTAGCCAGAATCCACTACTTTTATCAAAATTTAAGCTGGCGCCAGCGACATCACAGAAACGTAAAGTAGTGTTGACTGCTTCCTGAACGCTGGGTTTATCAGCGCAAAAGAAGGCAATGCCATCTGCATAAGCTAGAACTTTAACTTTGCCAGCACCATATCGGTAGCCTCTTATGCTATGTAGACTTTGGAAGCACACTTAAACATAATAGTTCCAGATAAATTGCAAACAGCAAAGGCGAGAGCAGACATCCCTGAGGTACAGATGAATTTAACTATATTATATTGAATAGTGTGTGATTAACAATTAGCCTGGTTGTGCACTCATTATAACTGTGAAATACGATTGTACAGTACATCAGCCAACTACAGGTGGGTTAGGAGCCGGAACAAAAAGCAAGCTGTACCTTATCAAATGCTTTCAAATACCATCAATACACTCAAGAACTGAGCGTGCAATATGAATGCCTGTATAGAGCAACCGCGAATTCCACATGTTTGGTGGTCACCTACACATTTATTAATCACTGTCTGTAGCCGATTTGTCAACAATTTAGCAAATACTTTGTAGTCATCGTTACACAACGAGATAGGCCTATATCCGTCAACTCTCTTTAATGTATCAGGATCAGCACTTTTTGGAATTAATGTTGTATGGACCTGATAGAAAGAAGGAGGAAGTTCACCAACTTCATAATTATGCCTCTTCAAAAAGTCGCTCAAGGAAAGTTCAATTGAAGATTCTGATTTCGGACGATTGGTATGTTGGTATATATAATTTGCCGTAGATTCTAAATTGCGATATAAAATGAAGCCGGACGCTTATTATCTCTGTTCCGTGTCATATTTCGGTATCATGCATATACACGGCTTCAATTCTTGATTAATGTGCTGCAGAGCGTTGATCATGAAATGTAATGAGTGAGTTAGCATTATAATCGGTATGCGCTTACAGTTTGCACAAGTAGACGTGCGAGTTGTGAACGTTTTGCTGAATGACGTGATACGTTGATAACTTGTGTGTGCGTATTTCTGTAGTATCTACCACGGAGTGTAATCCATGAGCTAACACACTTCTTTACTCATGTTTACAGCGTGAGTTTGCCGTCAATATTTTCCTGCTTAATATTTTCGGCTTCTGCACTCCACGGTGTGTACCTAACCTGAAGATTAGGTATACCTGCCCGGCCAGTCGCTGCAGCGATAGTGGTGACTACCGCTGCGTACGGATAAGAAAGTCGCTGGAGGTATCCTTCAAAGGGTTCAACACGAGGACCACCATTGTTATGACGAAAGTGGTGAGAATGAACGCCTCCTGCGAGTGCGCTACTTGTAAAACACAGGGGACAATGGCTGACAGACCACTCGACGAGAAAAACAGCAACGAGAAAGTACCACGAGACGACGAAGGTGTCACTAAAATACATGTAAATTAGTCAGTTGATAAGATTGAAGAACGGTGGTTTTAAGCACCGTCTATATATCAGCCACGTTATATATAACGTTATATGCGCATTAGTTAACAAGTAATATTTGTTGTTTCTTGTGAATAATTAATTATGCGAAAATGGTTAACAGTATAAACTTAATGCATGGAAATTATTTACGTATTCAGCCACCATCCTTTGTGCGTGCGTTGCAGCTGTATTTATTATCGAATGCAATTAAAAAGCTAACATAGTTTTCACTTTTGTTTGTAGTATGTGTTTTCTGTTATTTTTTTTCCTAAGATTTGGTGGCCTTTCTGCTTATAATGCATATATACTGCCAGAGCTCAGCCAATAACTAAATAACTAACTAATAGAGACCATTTGTAAAAATGGTTATTGAGCTGCAGTCGGTCATAATCTACGTAATGTTTCATAGCTGCTTGCTGAGAAAAAATGGCATGGAAAAAGCAGAGTGTCTTACCGAACCCTTGCGCCACACCTGATCGGACCAGTTTATTACATTTTGAAAACATTATTTACTGAAACAAATGGCTTTTTATTTGAAAAATGTGCCCCCGACCACTTCAGCTGAGTGATGGGTAATCGTTATCAAGGAAACAAGACAACTGAAAGAAACAGATTCCTATGACAGTTTGTCAATTGCTTTCCGAATACATATTATTATGATATTTGACCTTTTCTATTAACAATTGAGGCTGATGCTGATTTCATGCGTGTGATAGAAATATCCAACCGAAACTCTTGCTGATTTTTATCTAGACAATCGTTTCCTGCAACTGACTTGATTAGGCGAGTAGTCAAAATGTATTCCACCGTTTTGAAACAGGTTGTTGCAGAAGATGATTGGCTAGAAATCAGCGACATCATATTCAGAGCAATGGGTAATAACTTAGTAACCCCCGATTTGCTGATGACTTGGTCTCACAGAGTAAGTCGAGGGACACAAAGATTGGTACAGCTATTACTTTTCTAAAGCTAAACTAGTGTTCTACAGTAAGGGAGAGAACAGCGTTTTCGGACTGCTAGCAAGGCACTCGGACTCCCTAGGGAGTACATTTACTTGCGGCAGTTAAAAACCGTATAGCTTTACTGTGAGATTGATATAACTTGAACAAAAAAAAAGAACAGAGGGACTTTAACAGGAACTCTCAAATCAAGAATGGCAGTTTACCCGCCAAGAGAAATGCATGTACCAGCTGGGACTTACCGGTTCTTATTTCCGGGACATGAACCAGGGGTCTTGCGACAAGTGTTCCGCTTAAGTGTGGGACAACGCAGTGAGCCGCGGAAAGGAAAATGGCAGCTGCATCGTGAAGGAACAAGAAGAGAACAGTGTGGTTGAGCGATCAAACTTACTTGAAGACATCGTAGTCTTAATGAAGACGAAGAAGGAATGACGATGGGCAGGGCCCATAGTGAGACGGCAAGATAACCCCTGGTCATTAAGAGTACCACACTGTATTCGAAGGCGAGCACGGAACTGGGATGGGGGAGATGTTGATAGTTAGGTGGGCATTTAAGATTAAGAAGTTAGCGGGTGTAACGCGGCCTATATAATCTGGCTGAAGATGATGACGATTATATTGTATCGGTCGCGCGCAGTGAGCGTTTCAAGTTAAGTAGATCTACTTGACAAACTCGTAATCTCTATGCTATGAAGCTTATCACAACTTCTTTTTCTCTTTCAATACCGTTTGGACAAAAACTCTTGCACTGATCGCGGTGATTCTTGCCCCGAACAGGTGCAATATCTCCGCGTGCCTGAAAAGTTCCGCTTTGGTCACAGAAAGCCCTTTCTGTTGATAAGTTTTTCAATGACCTTCATCTGCAACTTCTAGCACTTATTTTCTCTCTCAAGTACATCGCCGATATAGAAAAAAAAGCAGGAGACAACAATAAGTTCGTCGCTTTGTTGGGCAACTACCGCTTATTTGTGCGTCTACACCTAATTTACTGAAAATATTGCTGCGGTAGATACCAACCGCAAGATAACCGCACTTTGTCCTCTTTACTTCTGCAGGATATAAAAGGTGAGTTCTCACGCCTGACAATTATGTTCGAACTCTTCAGTGTATTTCTGTGCAGTTGTGCGCGCTTCTGTGCCCTTCAGTGTATTTATGTGGCACCCCTGTGAGAACTTTCACGCCGCCTTTGCCAAAGTAGCCGCAACGTCGCCACCGTTAAGAGCAGATAACCAGGCGGTTTGTGGGCCATCGGATACACGCGCACTCTACAGCGACATCCACCCACAACCAACGAAGACAGCCCGTGGATTGAAGGCTGCAAAGGGCAAGTGGTAGCAACATTAGAAGGCAAGTTGCTGGAGGAATCTTGATAGAAAACAATACTCCGACTTCCGACACAAAGAAGTGTTCAAGTGATATCCCGCGATCATTGGCCGATCTGAAGGACTTGAAGTGTGACCACATGGCAGTGACTGCTTGCTAGATTCACTGTGAAGCAGTCAGTGACCAAAAAATCAGAATAACAAATTATCATTCGTAGAGATACTGTTCATCCAAGAGACGAGAACAACTCTGCTGGGATCTCTCGGTGTCGGGCATCTTACGGCGAACGCCCAGAGAAGGAAGAACCATACAAGATCACCGAAAAACATCAACAGTCAGGATACAACTTGCCTCAACCTTAAAGAAGTCGTGCTGATTTTTGCGTGATCAGGTTACGAATTATTCTAATACAGTGATAGTAAGAATCATGTCGTGCCCA